GAAGTATTAGAAACCAAATCCTACAAACCAAACAGAGGAATGGATTTCAAATCCAATCCAATCCAAATCCCATGGAATCCAAATCCCTCAAGGGAATCCAAATCCCTCAAAAACATTCCCGCAAACCAAACGCACCCTAAGCATTTTAGGTTTCACTGGACAAGCCATGGAGTTACATATTCTGAAGTTTTTGCTTCAAAATGCGATGGTCCTGGAAACACTAAATATTCACATAGATGATCCTCTTCATAATGCAAATGCGGTGATGAATTTCGAAAGGGCATCACCTCATGTGTCTGTTATAATAAATTCTGGTGAACTGGTTCGATAAACCTTCTTAGACTCGCATTTTCTGGTTCAATTGTCGTGCTTTAGAACATCAATGAATTTCTAATTATGTCTCTCACATTTATTATATAATGGGCCATCTCTGTATTGTATTTATTTTCTGGATCACAAAATCCTCTCCTCTGAAAAAAAAAAAGCCCACCCACGTATGGGTCATAGGTTTTCCATTGTCCCGACAATAGTCACTATCAAAGAGCTCGCCTACTGAAGTACAAAGGTGCGCTTAGATTCTCAGAAGAGGGAATCATTCCTCTCTACAGCTGCATGTTTCTATAAAGTCTATGGAGTTTATATCAAGAACAGAGACAGCAATTCTAAAGATGTTATGTGCATTTTGTTATAGAAGAGAAACTTATGCTTTTATAATGCTAAAATTCTTGTATCTCATTGGCAACGTAAGAACAAAAATCATCATGGTATAAAAATATCCTAAAATCACGAATATGTCAGATAGATATAAGAACATATAAGCATAAATGAGTAAACTAACTTGTGTGTATTGTAGGAGATGTTAGAGACTGGTCACTCTCACACCAGTTTTGCGTTGGGCTCTCTCTCCCCTTTCAACACCCATGGCCAGAGTACGTGAGAATGATGTGAAGCACATTTTTCTTGTTTTTGTGCTCCATGGTAGCTCAACCCTGATAAGATAAAGTACCATATTATGGTACAACTAGCATACACCTTGGGGTGGGAATCCACTTCTAGCATACCAACAATAGCAAGTCAATACACGAAATTTTTACAAGCAAATGTATACCAGATTTTCAAGAGTTACTAATCATGAACTACTTTCTTGGTATTTGACATCAGACAACCATGCCAAATTCTCACACAATGGCATCTTGACAGAAACACATGTCAAACAAGATAATTGTAATACTTCTTTCTGGTACTCAGGTTCAAAATAAACTTTTTGCACTTTATATGTGTTGGTTGGTATTCATGCAAACCTAAGACAAAGCATGATCTAAACAAGACAAGGATCTGGCCATCCCTGCAAGAGGTATATAAATTATTGCACTAAATCATACAAGGAATAATATGAAAGTTGAAGTTTGACAATGGTCTCATAATCAAACTACAGAAAAAGAGTCAAGCATGATATGAATCATTCAAGCATTAAAATATCAAGGTATCTAAAGAAAATCTAATTACTTACTCATCCTATATTCTGATTGATGAGTAAAGAATAACGCCACAAAATGCATTGTGCTAAAGAAAATCTTATTGTTTACTCATCCTATATTCTGATTGATGATATGGAATATCAGAGCAGAGGTAAGTTAAATCTTTAAACAACAAGGCCTTATATTATCATTCCTAGCACCAGTCATCAATCCAACCACCTTATCCTATCGTTTGACGTACGTCTTCAACAATAACCTATAGTTTGTTATGACTAATATCCAATAAGTATGCCTACTATCCTCGACATAGCCAAAGTTGCATATCACTTTTGCAGTTTCAGTCCAGCTTGATTGAGATGCTACCAAAGAGCCTTTGGCCTACAGCTACATAGAGCCCCAGAATTACAGGAGGTCTGGGGTTCAAACCTCACCAAAGGTGAGGAGGGTGTGTGCATTTATTTATCTTTCATTTGCCGTATATAAATATTATAAGCTTCAATTGATATTTCTCTTGCAAGACATTTCTACATAACTCAACCAACTGCTTTAGTCTATTATGGGGTGTGTAAAAAAAGATCAATATCCCTAATTACCTAGAGCTTCAAATTTATTATGTTTTTGCACAGGTTAAATTATGTCTTTTCTGTTGACAATCTCTTCACAATTTAGCAATACTTTTCATTAATAAGTCTTTCTTCTTAAAGTTCTTAGCTAAAGATAGACAACACACAGGTGTGAAATGATTTTTCACGTTTCATAATATATGCCCATGGCCATAGAATGAAAAGGATATTTGTTTGACCTCCCTAAGGAAAGAATGCTTGCTTGACCCCACTACCATAAACCTGAGTATTGTTTGGCCATTGTACCAGACATTAATTATATGTTTACTATAAAACATCTCCTATCATATATTGCCCATTTAGGGCAGCATCTACAACCCAACACCAAATCCCATTTTTCACTCCAACCCAACACCAAATGTTCAACCATTTTGGTATTGGTGCATAGTATAAAACCAAATGTGGTGTTGTACAATTCCTTTACACCAATTTGGTGTTGAACCACCTTCAATTACAAATTCGTCCTTCAAGTTTGATATTAATGTAATTTTAGTTTATTTCATTGTAAATGATGTTTTGGCTATAGTATTTCTTAATATTAAATCATAAATTACATTTATATTAGTTTATGATATATGATAAATTTCATTTTTAAGTTTCCAATTTTATTCAAAAAAATACTTAAAAATAATTTAAAACACAGTAATATATATAAGATAGAACACATAAATGACATATATATATATATATATATATTACAAAACGAGGAAATATTATTTAATTAATAAAGTTATTGTAAAAAAAATTATGGGTCGAATTTGTAAACAACTAATAAATTATTAGGTATTTAATGAACATCTATTTAAGTTAGGAATAGTAATACACCTGGAATATTCTATTTGGTATTAAAAATGGCATAAATTGGTAAATAGGTTGGAGATGAATTATTGTTAACATTAAATTTTATACCATTTTGGTGCAGAAAGTGGTGCAAACTATTGGAGATGGTCTTAAACCATTTTTAGGCAAGAACATAAATATTGTAACTGATTTACCCTTTTACTAATTTAGTGCAGTTGACTTAGTTTATATTGCTTTAACCAAATTTCAATAAAGCTAGATTGCTATAACATTCAATTTTCTAGCCTAAAAGTGGGTTTGGTGAACAAAAATATCATCTTGATTCAGAGTACAATGAAGTTTATAATGCAGTAGCCAAACTAATTTTTTTTTCCATCTCACAAATGATTTTTCTTTCACTTTTTGAATTGTTTTTTCAACTTTTTATCTATACTCAAACGGCTGCAAGTTGAATCATACTTGATAAAAATTGATAAATTGTGTTTTGCTGGACTTTTTAGGAATATTCTTTTAGATGACTAAAATTAGGAAGGAAACGTTAGATTTAAAAAGAAATTGCATTTGATCAGCAAATTCATCAATTATTAAGTGAGTATGAGCTAAAATTCATCCTCGGTTTCCAATTAAGGTTCATAAAACATCATGACTTCAATTGAAGCTTTCTAAACCTGGGGGAAGTGATTCACATACGAATAGTCTTCACAACAAGATAAAAACAAGGGAACAAAATTCATGATTTAATGAGTTTCCTATGGATTTGCGATCATCGGTCACAAACACACGTTGGAGTCACGTGACACCCAATAATCTTTTATAACTCAAGGGTAAAAAAAGGGCATTTACATTTCAGCCAACCCCTTTTCCTTCCAACCCTACTATTTTGTCATGTTAGCCGCTTTCGCATACATTCGCATGCCTCTACCAACTCCTCCATTCTCTTTCTATATCAAAGCAACAATTGCTGTTCTTCTATTTGATTTCTGAGATCTCAAGGTATGTAATATATGATTTTTATCAAGAAGATTGAAATCTCAGTTCCACATTTTGTTTACCCAAATTCAAGCCCTAGATAAATAATTTGTTCTACAGATATAAGTTTTCCCTGATTCAAATTGTAGATCAATAAATAGTTGCGCTACTAATGCAATTAAAGAACAAAAAATTAGATTTGACACAACAAGTTATCTGAGATATTGCAAATTGTTATATTTTTTCTGCCAGGTAAAACTACAAATTCGTAAAATTAATGTCAGTTCTTGTGCGATGTGATTGTATTCAACTATTATCACTAGCTTCATGTGGGTTTCTAGCCCAAGCGCTTAAGGATAGTCATATGCTGATCCATTTTAATCTACTAGCATTGTTAATAGAGAGTGAAAAATTAAGTAAAGAACCACCTAGCATTGTTAATAGAGAGGGAAAAATTAAGTAAAGAACCACCTTATCAAGTGTTGTGTGTTGAAGAACTTTCTCTGCTTCCTTGAAAGAAGACAATGAGGGGGGAAATAAAAATTCTAGAAAAAGAAATAGGCATTAACTACTTTTTTTAATAATTATTATAAAAGAAATGAGAAAAGTTATGATATTCCTTGACATTATGTTTTAATACTATTTTTTGAGGATTTATGTTATCATCGATATACTGTTCATCCCACTTCTATGCTGATTTTGAATCTGCTGCTCTTGTTATCAAGTTTCATAATTATGCAGGCTTAAAAGACTTCTCTTAATATCATTTGAGGATATTACCTATATATAGAAGTTACAAGTCCAAACAAAGATAGTCAGACAATTGTCTGTTAGTTTCTTATTATTCTCCCTGTTCTGCTTTTCTACAATTATACCATCTTATTTGTTCTATACATGTCGTCATATACTGATTACTAATTTCTCAAAAGCAATTAACAACTACTAAATGAGGGAAGAAGATAATAACACTAATTATGGTAGAATACTGTCAGTAGCCTAAGTTTTCCAAGAACTGCAAAAGTTCAATAGAAAAAATTAAGGAAACAAAATATGTGCCTTATCTGCCTATATCATCAGCAAGTTCCAACAAAGGTCATTCTAAATGCAAAACAAATTCAAAGTGTGTGTGTGTGTGTGTGAATGTTTTATAGATAATAAGAAAATCCAATTTCAGAAAGAAGTGTCCCTTTTCTTGTATTTGTAAACATAAACTTGCAAGTTTATAGCATCTGCCTTCTTCTCATACTTGTGCCCACATGTCTACAAGATATTCATTCTCTTCATTTGTTTCAATGAGCTTAAAGTCTCCCATCACAAAAATAAAACCCATAAACTTAATTTATTTCATATGCTTATGTAATTGCTTTTACTTAACATGACTGGTCATTTATTTAATAAGAATCACTCTAAAACAGTCAATTAATGGGAAGTAACTTCGTGTGTGTATTCACACACAAGAAAAACTCTGAAAGCCGAGAAAACACCTATAAGACCTTAAGTTATCCCTTGCCATCAACAAAAGAAAACTCGCACACCCATTTGGTCAAGCTCCAAACAACTGTATCCTTCTAGATATCATATGCAAACTAAAAATAAAAATAGAAGCCTACACCTAATGCCACCTAATGAATAACCAAAAATGGCATGCCATAGAATTGTCAAAAACATCAGGGAATGCAGTGTCCAAGAAAATTGAACCAGTTACTCATCTTATATTTTGATTCAGGGTGTGAAGTGCCTGGGCAGTAATATGTCAAGTTTAGTGTTGATATAGATAAAAGGTAGTCAGGTGCTGCCAAGAAACTAAGGAATGTTCATACACATGCTTTCCTTCTATGTACTCCAAAGTCCCAACAATACAAGATGAATAAAATCTGTCAATCTAATTATCTAACTAGAGGATATTTACTATCCTCAGATCTAGGTCAACAACAAACGAACTCCACCAAGAATATGAAAAAAGGTGCTCGTGATAGACTCCGCAAAATAAGAATACGTCAAAGAAGTCTCAGACAGCATGAACCTGGGACCTGATCATATAAGCCGGTTACCTATTGATATTCTACTCCAGATTTTCAACCTTTTGCCTTTAAAGTCTTGGTTAACCATGAGGACAGTTTCAAAACATTTCAAACACCACGGGAACCATGTATCAGATCTAGATCTTGACCAAGTGGAGATGGAAAGAAAAATCATGAGAAATAACATCTGTCCCGTATATGGTGAGTATCACCATGGTCGTCTTCCTATGGTGTGCCATCCTTACTGTGCCGAAGTTACAAGAACAAAGTTTATCAGATTAGTAGATCGGATACTTCGCTTACACTGTGGATCTAAGATGAATAGTTTAAGTCTTTGCATCAGCTACTACGAAGGGAGTTGGGATGTCCCTATGGTTAAAGGTTGGGTCAGTTTTGCCCTGACAAGAAACATTGAAGAAGTCGAGTTGCACTTTGATCGAAGTTTTCTACTCAATTATGTTACAAGCAATGGTCTGAAAGTAAGCAAAACCAACATGGTCAGCCTATATGCATTGCCTTGTCAACTTTCTCCATCCAAGGTACTGACCACTTTGACGCTCCATGGCTGCCAGTTCAAAGCATCTTGTTTGGGAATTTTCGAGTCCCTGCGGATTTTGATCTTAACAACAGTTGACTTGCTTGACAGCAGAATCGAACACTTGCATTCTATACCACCTATGTTGTCTGAGTTGTACATGGACCATTGTGTTTTGGAGGACAAGTTTTTTGTTACCGACAAAGTATTCAAAATCGAGTGTTTATATCTAAGCAACTGCATGACAAGCATGCAGATGATGTTCCCAAACTCTATAACAGTACCAAGCTTATGACTTTTCAGTTTTATGGAACTTACCTAGAAGGTTCCTCCATAAGGGGAGCTGATAAGCTGACAGATGTGTATATCAACATTGAGTACCCAATTGCAGATAGGTTGCAAGGTAATTTCATGTCCTCGTTCCTACAGGATCTACGACATCGTCAATGTTTAGAGCTAACTAGTTGGTGCCTTCAGGTAATAACTTGCTTTGAAAAAGAGATTAGATAACAAAATTTATCCTACTCCAATATATCACATTTTCATTGTTATTTTCAGCTTCTAGCATCAACACAATCTAGTAGTAAGGAGTATTTCCTTCAGCTTCAGAGCACAACAAAATTAACACTAAGTGTGGTTATAATCAAGCAAGAGCTCCCCGGAATATGTTGCTTGTTATGAAGATGCCCACCACTACAGACCCGAACCATGGAACTCAGAAAAGATTTTGCTGGAGCAAGTGTTACTTGGGCAAGACAGTTACAACTTTTTCATTTCAAAAGCTAACCACCAATTGCTTAAGAGTAACTCTAGTCTAATATATTCTTTTTTTATCGCAGGAGGGTTTTGTCCCAAATGCTTTTGATTTTCAAGACAACTATTGGGAATCACAGATTATGCCATTTGATTGCTTACAAAACTCATTGAAGACTATAAGCATTTTAGGTTCAATGGACGAGATGGAGTTGCATATTCTAAAGTTTTTGCTTCAAAACGGAATGGTCCTGGAAACACTACATATTTGCATGGATGATATTCTTCGTAACGCAGATACAGTGAAGAATTTTGAAAGGGTGTCACCTCATGTATGTGTTATTATAAATGTGAATTGGCTAGTTAAACCTTCTTAGACTCACATTTTCGGGTTCAATTGTCGTGCTTTAGAACATCAATGGATTTTGGATTATGTTTCTCACGTAAATTATATTATGGGCCATCTCAACTGCAAATTTCTATAAAGTCTATAGAGTTTAAATGAGCAGAGACACAGAAATGCTTAACATGTAACGTGCATTATGTTATGGAAGAGAATTTGTGTTTTAATAATGCTAAAATTCTTGTATCTAATAGGCAATTTAGGAACTAAATCAACATGGTATAAAATATCTCAAAATCACGAATATGTCAAATAAATATAGGAACATTTTGGCATAAATGTGTAAGCAAACTTGTGATTGTACGACATGTTAGAGATTGGCTCACCCTCACACCAGTTTCACGCTGGGCTCTCTCTCTCTCTCTCTCTCCCTCTTCAACATCCATGTCCTGAGCATGTCAGAATGGTGTGAAGCACGCTTTTCTTGTATTTGTGCTCTCCATGGTAGGTCAACCCTGATGAGATAATATACCACATTATGGTACGAGTAGTACAATCCTTGGGGCGGAAATCCAATTCTAGCATACTAACAATAGCAAGTCAATGCTTGAAACTTTTACAAGCAAATGTAAAACTAGGATATTGAAGGGCTACTAAGCATGATGAACCACTTTCTTGGTATTTAACAGTAGACAACCATGCCAAATTCTAACACAATGGCATCTTGATAGAAACACAAAGTCAAACAAGAGAACTGTAAATCTGTAACACTACGCAAGTTGCAAATAAACTTTTTGCACTTTATATGTGCTGGTTGGTATTTCTGCAAACCTAAGACAAAGCATAATCTAAATAAGACAAAGATCTGGCCGTCCGCAAAAGAAGTATACAAGTTATTGCAATAAATTGTACAAGGAGTAATATGAAAGTTGAACTATGAAAATGATTTCACTATCAAATTACAGCAAAACAGTCAAGCATGACATGAATCGTTTAAGCATTAGAATATCAAGGTATTTTAAACAAATTATGCTTAGGGGGATAATAAAATAACTACTTCCAAACCATGAGGATACAAACACCAAACTAAACCAATCAGGTTGTAAATAGTTCCTTGTGTTATTTTGATGGTCAATTCTAATAGCACGAAATTACATAGGAACAATTTCCAAGCACATCTTTGAACTTATTCTCCATCCATTTGTGTTTCTCTTTCTTTATTCAGGAGAGGAATCAGTTTTTATTTAAATCTTGAGGTGTAAGGTTTTGATGGTTTTGAACAAAAATGGTGAAGGGGGCTTGGGATGGTTCTGTTTCTCAGGGATAAGCAAAAATCTTGCACTACCCTCCAGAGCACCCCCATTGCACCAGTTTCACGACCATCAGGAAGAGGTAAATCACGGTGTCCTAGGGCAGGGTGGGAGGGAGATTCAACATCTTGTCTTTAGCATCAACACATCTGAGAATGCTTAGGTTAACTTGACCAATAGTGACATTATAGTTTGATTAAGTTCGTATGCATTGTATATGATACCAAATTTCCTTAGAAAACCAACTTTTTCAATGTGAGTTACGAAAAAGAACCCTAATTGATACCTGCAAACAGATAACATGGACCAGTCTCTTCTTTGGTATAACACATAATCTGAAAAGGAAAGGGAAAGGGAATTGGAGTACCTTAACGTAACCCAGAAGCTTGGCAAGACCAAGATGATATGGAAACTTTCTTGATAATCCAAGACGCTATCCCCAACAACAGTTCCCTGGTGGCCACCGCAAATGACCTCTTCTACGACGGTAATGGAAATGGCGGTTGCTTGGAGTCGGAGGCGGTGATGTTATTGTTGTTTGTTGGGGTCTTTGGACGTGGCTTTTGAGGATAATTGTAAAGTTCGTGGATCACGAAAGAGGGTGATGGAGTTCGTTGAAAATTGTGATACAAAAACCAGGAAGTGAAAACAGAACTGGCGAGGCCGTGCGTGTTCGTAGACGACCGTTTCTTACGATCACACATGGACGGACAGAGTGTTATTTCATAAACATGAACTTTGGGGTTTTCAGGTACCATTTTTAGTATTATAATCTAACTGGGATTTCACTCATGGATTAGTATAAATATCTCATTGAGTTCCCATAAGATAGAGAACAATATTGAGAGATTAGAAACTCTAGCTTTGAGAAGATATTGAGATATATTAAACACAATTTAGTTTTTCGGTTTGTAATTTCTCTTTGATGTTTCGGTGTTCTTCATCAGTTAAAGTTTCTCTTTTTCCCTGTAGAAATACATCACCATAGCGGTAGTGGAAGTGGAACAACGTAAATCTTCTATGCTTTGCATGTGTTTTGCAATTCTTTGGTTGATTATTCGATGTGATTTCAGTCCTACATTGTTTCCGGCATTAGTTGGTGGTTGGCATGACATACTTGATTAAGGGGGTGTTTGGGATTGCTTATAAAAATAAGTTATTGACTTATTCCGGTGTGGCGCCGGTAATAAGCACTTTTGAGTGTTTTGATAAACAACTTATACCGGTGCCAAACCGGTAATAAGGAGTTTTTGAAGAAGTTAAACCCTTCTGACTTATAATAAATTGATAAGTGTTTCTGTAGAAAAGCATAAGTTGTTTCAAATAAGCAATCCCAAACACCCTATAAGACTGAATAAAGTTCATTACTTTATGTTGCTTTTGGGACCTTTGTGGTGTTCAAAACTCCAACAAATAGTATCAGAGCTTGGGTTTTGATTATTGACGTTTGGAGAACATATTCGAGCACTAATTGAAGCAACATGATGACTATTTCAAAAGAAGACGAAAACTCGGGCAAGTTTTCATCAAACACTTCTTCTATCCATATTAAAGGGTCATATTCTGCCTCTTGATCCACACTTTCAGATTGGTGGAATGGGGATGGGGACTTTAGAAAGTGGCAGTGGAAGATGAAAGCGGTACCTCATGTTTTCTATGAATTAGACAAACTCACCCCTGACATATCGATGAAAGAGTTGGAAGAGATGGAAGAATGGACTCTCACAACATTGCAACTAACAATGGATGAGAAGGTGATTTTGGAGATAAGTTCAGAGACAACCGCATGAGGTATTTGGAACAAGCTAGAAATAGCTCTACCTTACAAAGTCTCTCACAAGTCGTCTCATCCTACTCAGAACCTTCTTCACCTACAAGATGAAGGAATGTACACCAATCACGTTTCATCTCAACGTTCTTGATGATCTAATTTGAAGATGAAATCAGTGGACTTGAAGATAGATGAGGAACAAATGGCAATGATCCCACTATGCTCCCTCCCTGAAACGTATACAAGTTTTGTTAATTCGTTAATTTATGTAGAGATATTATCACTCTAGCATATGTGAAAAGGAACCTCTTAAGTGAGAATCCAAGGGATCAAACGTGAGGCTTGAATGCTAGCAAAGATGATGGAAGCAACAGTCATGGATTATTTGTAGGATGCAATGAAGATCGAAAGAGAGATAAATCAAGAGGTCGTTCAAAGCCATGCAAAGTAGAATTTAGAGGGAAGTTTAAGAAGAGTGGCAATTGGCACTATTATCATCAGTCTGGACATTGGATTAGAGAATTTCCATGTTTCAATGGCAAGACTGATAAGGAATGATCATCTTCATCCATTGTCGTGAATGATTTTAATGATGTTCTAACCGCATCAACCGGGAGTTCTAGGAGCAATGGATGTTGGATTCAGGGGCTTCTTTCCACGTGACTCCAACTTTTTGCATGTCTTTTTCTTGTTGGTTGATCAGTATTCTTTATTTGAGTTCGATGTAGACACTATTTCAACTTACTATCTTCTATAGTATGCTGAGGAAACAATAAAGCAAACAAAATACCAATCACATGGTGCTTTTGGATTTGCTCATGTTCTCATACCAAGAAAGGAAGCAAGTGAGTTGGTGAACCAAACTTGTTGACCAAGTTTGTACTTCAAGATTTTGGTTGTAAGTAATACTATTTGTCAGACTACTAGTTGACTTTTGTCTTGTACTGATCTTCTTTCGCCTAGATGACAATACAATCCACTTTGGTGATGATCTTTGTAAAACCCAAAAGTTTCGAGGAATAAATAATTTATCTTTATTATTATTTTTATTTTATATATATATATATATATATATATGTTAAATAAAAATAGAAATTAAAATAAGTTTAAAAATCGGACCAAAAGTGAAAGAAAAAGTCAAGACATGGGTGAAAGTTGTAAATTCACGATAGTTAAGGGGTTGGGTCAGATGTAAGCAGGTCCAAATCAGAAGGACCTGTTTTGTAAATATGCATCAGACCTGCAATTCAGAAGGACCTGTTTTGTAAATATGCATCAGACCTGCAAATTCAGAAGTACGAAAACGACCTCTCCTTTGAAGCTCCCTATTGGTCTGAATATTCAACTATTACGACAAAAATTTCAATATACATATAGACTACWYTTTGCTCTCCATTCTTGCTTCAAGAAAACCAAACTTTCGTTGAGAGTCGAAGGAGAAGTCGGAGGGTGAAGTTCGGATTCAAAAAGCTCCGTTTCTTGACGATTGGAGGTAAAATACTCAACCAAATTTCGAGTTCTTTGTATGGATGGCTTCATTTTTAGGTCCTCTATAAAACCTTAGTAGCCTTATGTCTCAGATTTTAGTTTTTGAATGTTCGATTTTGAGTTTTTACTGATTTTCGAGTGGTTTTAAAACCGAAACTTTAAATGAGTAAATGGAACTCATTTCTTAATGAAAATTCGTGTTCTTTATGTCAAAGTGTTGATTATTCATCTCCTTTCTATTCTATGCCTGAATCACTTCTTATATAGGCGGTATTTTCATGATAACTAAATCCTATAAACAAGAAAATAATCATTATCCAAAATAGGATTAGCATCATCCTTCAAGATTTTGAAGATAGTCGTCCGGAGACCAGAGGATAGACCAACAAGAGGGGCTCTGGTCGATACAACCAGAGGGGCTCTGGTCCCAAAGAACTTAGCGTCCAGAGGCTCTGGTCAATACAACCAGAGGGGCTCTGGTCAATATAACCAGAGGCTCTGGTCAATACAACCAGAGGGGCTCTGGTCNCCAGAGGCTCTGGTCAATACAACCAGAGGGGCTCTGGTCAATATAACCAGAGGCTCTGGTCAATACAACCAGAGGGGCTCTGGTCCTAAAGGACTTAAGAGTCCAGAGGCTCTGGTCAATACAACCAGAGGCTCTGGGGTCTTCTTCCAGACTTAGTCATTTTAGCACAGCGACATCTTCAGAAGTTCCATCCTTAGCCCCGATGGCTTAATAAAACTTTTTTTTAGAATAATTAGGATCAATTTGATTCTAACAATATATATATATATATATATATATATATTGTCTAGACACTTATTTTATAAAAGATGATGTTATGGAGTTATAAAAAAATAATTGACTATACGGAGTGTTACTCGAGTTGTAAATTTATTAAGATGCTTTTAACTCGAAATATGTAATTATTAACATGTCTATCATATAATAGATAACTTAATAATCACGTTTGTGATATAGTTTTAAGATATATAGCTAGACGATACACCTTATGTCGGAACTCACGGTTCCTATAATTTTAATTGATGTGAGGAGCGTTTTTAAGCATAGTTGACCAATGATGACCCTAGTCGACGTAGTTGACCGTAAGTTGACTTTTATGTTAGCCTTTGGGAGAAATTCATCATTTATATGCTATTCGCTATTATAAATTGTAAGTTACCAGTCAGCGACGTTAGTTAAGCAACCTTCGTTATCAGGTGAGTCTTCATGAGACTTACAATGGGATGCATACCTATGTATAAATTTATTTTCAAGCATTATATAATTTATATGATAATGGGTACATATGCATGATGTTTCAGTTTACATACACGATATACTTTACATGTATGTTATTTTATGATTAGTTGCATGCTATGTGTTTATTTTGTTTTCAAATAACACTAGCATGTTATTTCATTTGAAAGTTTTATGATCAGTTTTAGTGGGTGAGCATTTGACCAAGAAGTCACATGACAAGTGGCACAACCCCGTAATGAGTGTCTAGACAGGTGCAGGTCGGACAACTCAGGGAATGTCAGTGACTAAATGACTCATACCCGACAGACAATTTATGAGATCTCTTT